TCAGAATAAAGAGAACAATCCAAGAACGGTAGAAAACATGACAACAGTGCTCTGAGGCTCCCCTAGCTGCAAAATGAGAGTATTTCTGAGCTGTCAGACGGTAAAATTGCGCTAGAGGACAATATAAATTTACCATCTGTAAGAACTATAAATCTTATAACAACTTTAAGCATCAAACTAGCAGTATGAATGGCAATGAAAGTACTCCTGTATAATTCATGACTGTAACAGCAGAGCTGTAGCACAATTAAGTAGAGACTCTAGAACCCAGACGGACTCTGACTGAGCCCAAACACCTGCGTCTGCCCCTTACTACTGTATGGCCTTGAGTATGCCACTTTGTCTCTCTGGGTTTCAGTTAACTTGCTTTGAATACATTTAAGGGACTTATTAGTTGATGAAATTTGCAATTGCTTGTCCCAAAACTCTCCAAATTCAACATCTATAGTTCCATAAAGAGCCTTCACTTTACCTATTATCACCAATAATAAAGAGGTGGGGGGGGGATGAGACTCTTTTGGGTGTATTTTATCATTTCTTGAAGTTGGATGCATGCTGACTCAAACGTCAAATAATAAATTCAAAAAGCTTTCAAGGTAAGACTTTCTTTGTGTATTATTCTGGCCCCTTGGCTTTTAGCCACTGAAAAAGATCAGGGCAGGAAGAACTTCTAGGAACCCCAGAGCTTTGATCTAGGAAGCAAGAAATTTGATCTGATGAAAACCAAGTAAGGTCAGCAACATGCTATGAGTCATGGCATTGGATTACTGCTTAAAATAAGAGCAGAGGTTTACACTTCCTTGTGAAAGTTCCTTATAGAAGAAAAATTAAGTAGTTAGCAAGAATACTATAAAAGAGATGTGTTGCAGATTGGGGTCTTTTTAACCTTTCACAATGCATTTAATGAAGGGCTCCTGAACTTAGTCAAGACTCCATGCTGTGCTTTTAGCAGCAGGGCAAGAAAGGCTAGTGTGGACAAATAAGGGGGATTATCTTGCACAAGTGCAGCCTCATAGGATGTGTAAAATTTGCTGTTAAAAGTCAATTTTAATAATTGTGCAAACGGTATCAGCACACTGAGCAGGAGGTAGATGATAGTGACCTAGCTTTATTAACATTAGGAATAATGTACTTTACAACATCATTTTTGACACAAGGCTGCTTCACTTACCACTTCTGTTGATGTTTCCGCATGTTCCGAAGTAACATGTTCTTGAAGAGATGTCTCCGTATAGCCCATTTTTCCACAGTAGGGACAAGTAAAAGACTGTGGCTGCTCTACAGAGAAAGCTTCCCCACCATAGTACAAATCTGAAAAATAAAGTGGAATTGCACTGAGGAATAATTACTAGTTTTTAAAAATATAAAAATGTAATAACATGGTACAATAATGTGAAAACAAAGTGTGTCTGAAACATCCACCAACAACCTCATTCTATCAAGGAATACTTAAATACCTCTCTGTTCATATTTCTAACACCCTTATTCCCACAAGGACTCCATGTCACTCCTCCAAAATTCTTTCCCCAGATAGCTACTACAGCCTTAAGTGAAAACAAGCAAACAACCTCCCCCCCCTTTTAATTTTGAAACATCGTTCATTTCACATCTAATTTCATTGTAATTTATTTTTCCCTTATTTCTATATACACTGTGGCAAAAATGGTATCAACAGAAAGAATCACCAGGGTGCATCATATACAAGGATACAAGGGATTAGAGGAAAAGAACAAATAATATGCCAACTCCTTAATGCAGCTAGGCATTCAGTTCTTATAAATGCTAACTTGAATGGGGTACTACCACAACATACTCTGCCCAACTGGATTACTGAAGAACTAACCAGTTAGAGTCTGTGGGAATAATTTGCTCGCCTCATTAGCATATCTTGGGGAAAAAAATCTATTTTTCTCCGTTAGTAACACAAAAGAAAATGAAATTCAGTATGTTATGCCACTTCACTGTAAAGAACTATTTGATTCTCTAACATGAAACAAATGCCACATTTAAGAGCATATGATCATTTTTGTGAAAAGAGAAAATGGAAGAAAGTGTTTACCATTTTATAGATTTGTTCATATTCATTTTTAGGGAGATTTAAACTATCTTAAAAATATTTACTCATTATGTATATATTGACCATTTATTATGTGCACAAGATTTGCCAGGTGGATTTGGGGTAGTTGGGAATAAATACATTAAAAAAACCCAGAATTTTTTCACCTGACAAAGTGCAAATACCAAAAACCACTGCAACATCATATTTACTGATGAAAGACTGGTTGCTTTCCTCATAAGATGAGGAACAAGAAAAGGGTGTCCACTCTTGCCACTTCAACTGAGTATTTTTACTGGAGGATCTAACCTGAGTAAATGAAAGGCATCCAGATGGAAAGGAAGAAGTAAAATGATCTTTATTCGCAGATGACATGACCTTGAATATAGAAAATCCTAAGACATCCACTAAGAAACGATTAGAACTAATAAACAAGTTCAGCGACATTGCAGGATACAAGATCTATATACAAAAATCAATTGTTTTTTCTATACACTTGCAATGGACAATCCAAAAATAAAATTTTTAAAAATTCCATTTACAACGGCAAAAAGAATAAAACTTAGAAATATTATATTCTTATATTCTAATAACTACAAAACTCTGACAAAAGAAATTAAAGACCTAAATAAATGGAAAGATAGCCCACATTCATGGATCAGCAGATTCAATATTATTAAGACGGCAATACTCTTTACAAACTAATCTACATATTCAACACAATCCCTATCAAAATCCCAATCAATTTCTTTGTAGAAATTGACAAGCTGGTCCTAAAATTCACACAGAAACTCAAGGGACCAAGAATAGCCAAACCAATCTTGAAAAAGAATGAAGTGGTAAGACTCACACTTCTCCATTTTAAAGCTTTCAACAAAGCTACAGTAATCAAGACAGTGTAGTACTGACATAAAGATACACATATAGGGGCTGGCCCGTGGCTCACTTGGGAGAGTGTGGTGCTGATAACACCAAGGCCACGGGTTTGGATCCCTATATAGGGATGGCCGGTTAGCTCACTTGGGTGAGCGTGGTGCTGACAACACCAAGTCAAGGGTTAAGATCCTCTTACTGGTCATCTTAAAAAAAAAAAAAAAAAGACATACAGAGCAATGGATTAGACTGAGGGTCCATAAATAAACCCTATTTACGGTCAACTTATTTTCAACAATAGTGCCAAGACAATTCATTAGATAAAGAACAGTCTTTTCAACAAATGATGCTTGAACATGTGGCTATCCATGTGCGAAAGAATATAGTTGGCCCTCTACCTCACTCCAGATATAAAAATTCTAAATGGATCAAAGATCTAAATGTTAAGAGCTAAAAGTATAAAATTCTTAGAAGAACATATAGGTTTAAATCTTCATGACCTAGGATTAGGCAGTGGTTTTCTTAAAAACAGACAAACTGGACATTATCAAAATTAAAATTTGTGCTTCAATATACACCACCAAGAAAGTGAAAAGAAAAGACACAGAATGGGAGAAAATTTTTGCAAATCATCTATCTGATAAGAAACTTGTATACAGAATACGTAAAGAACTATTACAGTTCAATAATAAAGACACACCTTATCAGATTAAAAAATGGGCAAAGGACCCGAACAGACATTTCTTCAAAGTATATAAACAAATGGCCAATAAGCTCAAGAAAAGATGCTCAACATCATTAGCCATCAGAGACATGCAAATCAAAACCACTTGAGATACCACTTCACACCCACTAGGATGACTGTAATTAAAAAGACAGACAATAACAAGTGCTGGCTAGGTAAGAAATTACAGCATGAAACATTTATAGCTTTTCTTATAGACTGATGATGTCTTCTAATCAATTATAGAAATGATCTGCTTTCTCATAGCCAGAGCAAGAGCTAGTACTTGTGTGCTGCTAGCAAGAACTGTCAGTTTGACTTTATTCCTTCTTAAATGAGGCACTCTTCTTTCATACCTTGTCAGCTGTGTATATTTCTCAATAGTTTTCATAACAGAACAAACTACGATTAAGAGACAGAATTACTTAGAATATAAAAGGAAAATTTATTTTATTTTTAATGAATTGGGGGCCTTATGTATACTATTGGGAATAGTTCAGAACATTTTGCCTTCACTTCTTCACACACATACACACAAAATTCTAAATGATAATTCATTAAAAAGTTTAATTACATACTTACCAAAATCTACCCTTGTTAATATGCACTGCATTGGGTGGTCAGTTGTGTGCCTTGTTGTCGTTGCACCACTTTCATAACAAGATGCACAAAGATCGTAATCGTAGCAAATTAAACACTTGTATCTGCGACCTCGAAAATTTCCTTTTAAACATGCATCACAGCTGACACCTATTAAAAAAAACCACTTCAATTAGCAGCTGTAAAAGGCCACTCTCCATTCCACTTTTATAAATGTTTGAGGTACTCATTTTAACCCCATAATATCCTTTTCCAAAATGACTAGAAACAGCATAGTAAAATGATATAGGAATTTCCAGCAGTATGGTTGGATTCATCACTCTTATTTTTACTACTAATGAAAATAACTTAAAATGTTTGATAAAATGTAAAAAACTAAGGGAAAGAGAAACTGATATCAGGAAGCACTAAAGGAGGCTTTCATCCTGAGGGCATTTGCCAAAGCAGGTAAAAATTTGAGCTTAGATTACCACAGCATTGCAGGACAAAGCACAGGAATCAAAGACCAAGGCCTGCCAAAGGTGGGGAATCCAACAGGAGATTTCTTCATAAAACTGCGACTCCAATATACCCTCAATGTATGGGTAAACTAGAACTCCTTCCTAGGGATTACAAAAAGTGACCCGGTGAAGTGCCCCCCCCCTGGGGGGGGGAGCTGAAAATTACAACTAAAAAACCCCAGCCCTCTTATAGGTTTACAGCTCAAATTTTACCAAATGATTCCAAAAACCTTGGGTCAAGAATTTAGTTTAAAGTGGTCTTAAATTACTATTGCCACCAAGCATGTGGCAGAAGTAACCATCCAAGGAATAAGTTTATAGCTTAAATCATAAAATACACCCAGAAAACAAAGCACTACCAGAAAAAAATTTGCAGCAGAATCAAAATGTCAAATAGTTCATGTCAGAATTGAATACCAAATGACAATTCTTAATAAGTTGAAAGAAAAGAGAAGTCTGAAGAGGCAACCAGCAAATCTGAAAATGAACCAAACAACTTCTAGATATAAAATAATACACGACAAAATTTTAAAACTCACTGGGCAGGTTTAATTATAGGAAAGGCCTTTTATTCACATGTGATATGCTTATTTACATAGAAAAGCTAGATACAGCCTAATTATTAGAATGAAGTATTAAGCAAGGTTGCTAGATACAGAAACCAATTTAATAAAATATTAAGGCTAGCCAGTTAGCTCAGCTGGTTAGAGTGCAGCCTCATAACACCAAGGTCATGAGCTCGGATCCCTGTCCTGACCAGCTGCCCAAACAAACATATTAATTATATTTCTTCACTCCAAAACAGACAGAAGAAAATATTAAAGAATATGCCATCCATGATTCCACCTAGATTAGTCAAATTCATAGAGAGAGAGGGAATGGAGAATTACTGATAAATGGGTACAGAGTTTCAGTGTGGGGTGATGAAAAATTCTGGAGATGGATAATGATTATATGATGTGAATGTACTTAATGACACTGAATAGTACACTCAAAAAGGGTTAAAATTGTAAATTTTATTTATATATTTTATCACATAAATAAACATGCCATTTGCAACAGCATTTTTAAAAAGTGCCTATTCGGGTTGGCCAGCTAGCTAACTTAGATAAGCATGGTGCTGATAAAATCAAGGTCAAGGATTCAGATCCCTGTACTGGCCACTGCTAAAAAATAAGAAAATAAACAATAAAAATAAAAAACGAATAAGTCTAACTAAAGATAGGCAGCCCTTTGTGAAGCAATTAGTAAAAATGTATTCAAAGACTTTTTTTTTTTTTGACCGGTAAGGGGATCGCAACCCCCGGCAAGGTGTTGTCTGCACTATGCTCAGCCAGTGAGCAAACCGGCCATCCCTATATAGGATCCGAATCTGCAGCCTCGGTGCTCCCAGTGCCACACTCTCCCGAGTGAGCCATGAGGCCGGCCCTCAAAGACATTTTTAAAAAGTACTTGCTCACTCGGGAGAGCGTGGTGCTGACAACACCAAGACAAGGGTTGAGATCCCCTTACCGGTCATTTAAAAAAAAAAAAATCACAAAAGAATTTTGTATAGAACATGATAAGCTAACTCAAGTTTTTATGCAAGTTACAAAAGGCCAAAAATAGTCAGATATTCCTGAAGAAAAACAAAATGGAGGGACTGTTTTTTAACATATCAAGAGCTACAGTAATAGATAATAAATAATAAAGCTATTGTAATTAAGATAGAATGGCATTGGCATAGAGACAAACTGACCTATGGAAGAGAAGAGAAAAGCCCAGAAACAGACTTCGCAAGTGTTGAAATTTGTTTTATGACAGCAAAGTCACTAGAGATCAGTGGGGAAAGAAGGGAGTGGACAATAAATGGTGCTGAACACTGACTGTCCATATGAGGGGAAAATAGAATTGGATCTCTTCCCCATGTCCAATGTACAAAAATCAATTCCAGAGAGTACAAATAGAAATGAAAAAGGAAAATGAAAAAAATCTCTAAAAGACAATACAGGAGAAAACTTTTATGAGCTAAGAGTAGGAAACAATTTCTTAAATCTCTTTCTCACATATAGGTATAGTCCAAATCATAAAAGATAAAGTCAATTACACTAAAATTGACTTTTTGTTCAACTTTTAACACCATAGAGTGATAAAAAAAAAAAACAAAGCTTAGAAACTAGAAACTACATACATGACAGACAAAAGTATGGTATTCAGAATACATTAAGAACTTGGACATAACAATAAGAAAATAACCGACACCCAATAGAAAAGTAGGCAAACACGTCAATGGGCACTACAAACAACAAACACAGATGGCCAATAAATATTTGAAAAGATGCCCAATCTCATTAGTCATCAAAGAAGGGCAAATAAAGCCATCATGAGCTATCATTTTAAATCTACCAAGCTGTCAAAAAACTACCAGTTGTGATATCATGTGCTGGTGAAGATAAAGAGCAACAGAAAGGCTCATACCCTCCTGGTAGGAGCGTACATCAATACAACCACTTTGAAAAATATGTTCATATTCTAGACTAGTCAAACATGATACTTCTGGCTAGCTGGCTGGCTCAGTTGGTTAGAGCACGGTGTTACGACACCATGGTCAAAGGGTTTGGATCCCCATACCGGCCAGCCACCAAAAAAAAAAAAAGTATACTTCTGTGTAAACAATTGTCATCAATTAAAAGTAAAGACATGTATACTTCCTATGACATTATAATTTCACTCTTAAATATATTCTCCAGGGAATCTTTTGTCTATGTGTACCAAGAGAATGTAGAAGAATGTTCACAGCAGTTTTTGTAACTTAAAAAAAAAGGCTATTAACAACCCAAAGGCTCATCAACAACTCATATTCATAGAATTGAAAAAAGAACGAACCAGGCCACAGCTGAGAACATAAAGAGTCTCAAATGAGTGAAAGGAAGTCTCAGATAAAGCTCAAAAACAATATCTAGTTTAGGAAATCAAACATTAAAGTATTAAAACTATAAAAGGAAAACAAGAGAATGATAAAATTTTGGTCAGTCGGTCCCTCTGGAGGGTGATGGGGGGATTAGGGGAATAGGGGAGAGTCTTTAGGGATCTTGAAAGGTAACCTTTCTGGATCTGGCAAAGATGATCTGTTAGCACCATGCTTCTCCTTTGCATTTATTTTACAAATATTTTCATATATCCACTCGATTTTAATTTTAAAGTCCCTTCCCCCAACCAAAAAAGCCAAAAATAAAAACGAATCTGGGATTTGTTTACAATAATCCTTAGGCTGTTAGTTTAAGAAGGAAAACTAACATAGTTTTGGCAGACTGTCTCAATAAATGTTTGCTGAATGAATATATTTTTATTTCAAAAAATTAGATTTCTTGTTACTACTTTGCCATTAACAACAAACTCTGAGACAAATCATTTACTGTTCTCTGCTCCATTTCTTCATTTATCAAGTATGTTGTGAGAATCAAATGAGAAAAAAAGACACTAAAGTCCTAAATTTTAAGGTGCTAACATTATTTCATGCAGATGTAGTAAAGTTACGTCACCATTTTCTTAACATATAATTTGATCACAATAATATACACAACCTTTTAAATTAGTCCTCATAATATCCTTCAAGATCCTTGAGATTTCCAAAGTTGTACTGAGATCCCACCAAGTTATGATGAGAGCCAAATGACGGTATCAAGGCAGCAATTTTTCAGCTAATTCAACCAATACTAATATGTAATATGTTCCAGGTACTTGGGAATACAGCAGTGAACAAAACAATGCCCTGCCCCCTGGAGCTGACATTTTAGTGGGTGAAGGCAAGTATAAAAACAAAATAAGTTATAGAGCATATTAGAGGAGAAGTGCTATGGAGAAAAATAAAACAGAGAACGATAAGCAACGGGCAAAGAAAGCTTCACTAAGAAGATATTTGAGCAAAAAGATGAAATACTTCAAAATTTACTTATTCAAGCATCACAATGCTTTAAGCTTAACACTAAAATACTGAATGGGGGTAAATATCTATTTAGATTCACAAATGAAAGTTTAATATGACAGGGTATAATAACTTTGACAAACAAATGTAGTATGACCTTAGGTGCCAGGAAAGTAAACCCAGCTCTGGACATTAACCTTTTGGTGTGTGTTGGGGATGGCTACTGACAAGTATAAGTGAAGAGAGCTCACAGTGACTGTGCGTGGTGATACCGCCAAACACTGCATCGTTTTCAGTAAAAAGCTGCTGCTCCTGCTTGCCTCTTGCCCACTCTACTCTTCTGATTTAACCCAAAGCTATCTAAATGGTTCACAGAAGGGATGGGTGGTGGTGGTGGTCTTGGGTTTCACTTCCAATCCAGCTGGAGTTCAGTGACTGTTAGCAAACTTCAAGAAACAGGTTATTTTGTTTTTTTAAATTAACTATTTTTGATAAAATCATTTCTAAAATAAATGCTTCATAGCTTTTTAAACACTGAAAGGCATAACTTTTATATCACCTATGGTCGTTATTTCAAACAGAGATATATATTTAAGTCAAAATCACATTAGATAAATTTTCAGCAGGCTTTCGTACAACATATATAAGATTCACTTTATTTGTAATAATGTATGTGGCAAGCATGCTTCCATGAATAGTATATTATAGGTAAGAAGCCAGAGACATTAAAAATGTTTACAACACAG